TCTTACATATATATTTCACACACACACACACACACACACACACACACACACACACACACACATATATATATATATATGTATATATTGTCTCACAATTTTCTAAATTTGTTGTCGGTTACATTATCGTTCAAATTTATCAACCAATTCTCTAGAATTAAACTATAATTTTAAATTTTATTAACCAATATTTTTTTAAAGATCTTTCTGATTTTCAAGAGGGATACATACTAATTTGCCGAATTGTCATCAATGTCTTATGGCAAGTTATTATTAGACTGCTAAAAAGGGATACATACTAATTTGCCGAATTGTCATCAATGTCTTATGGCAAGTTATTATTAGACTGCTAAAATTAAAAATCGTGTCACCTAGCTTTTATAACAAAACAATTTTATGCAGAACAACACAATTCAAAACTGATTTGCAGATAAAAATTAGTAAACCAAATGAGCTCCAAATTAACACAAGATATTAAAGGTGTTTATATGGTTGTGTACAAATTTCAGCTCATTCCAATTCCAATAAACACAAACTGAGAATTACTCGAAACAATTTTCTGCGCAGACAAAGAAACGAAGATCAAACTCGATCAAACTTCGAAATAAGAATTCCAAAGTGCCGAGCTCTGAGTACCCAAATTTGTATGACACAACCAAGGAGAAGAAACAAGGATTTTCTCGGATTGAAAACCAACATAATTCAATAAAAACAAACTCAAGAACACGATCAAACAATAATACTGGTTTCAATTCACAATCGATCAGATGAGAACCAAAGCTCTTGGCTAAGACCCAACACCTCTAAACCAAACGAGAATCAAACAATAGGCTAGAAACTCCCATAGGGTTCGAGAAGCCACGAACCAAAGGATTAACCAAAGACCCGATTTGAGATTGATACAAGTGCATAAGCATCACTTAAACAGAAAATCAATATGAAGAGAGCTCTCAAAGTTCTCTTACAGAAGAAGATTCATCAAAAGCTGCAAAAATCGAGCTTAGAAAGTCCTATTTATAGTCTCATCTAAAAAACACCAATAATTGTGCAAAACACCAAACAAATATCTAACATTTACTTCCACCGATACCATCCCCACTTCTATTTGCTTGATTCTTCATTATAAGATCAAACCAATAACACTTCTCCAATTGGCCTCCATGCTTCAAGTTTATGAACATTCTTTTCTTCCAAATGTATAACCATTGCCAATACCTCGAATTGGAACTTCTTCGCACGACTTTGAGTGATCGTACCAGTTCGAAGTGATAGTTCATTTCTTTTGACGACCTCGTCATTATCCCGACTTCGAGTGATCGGACCGGTTGGAAGTGATAGTTCATTTCTTTTGACAACCTCGTCATAAGCTACCAACCTCATGCTTTCTATCTGCACTTCAGTGAATTAAGGTGTCGACCCACATGAGAAGCATTAGCTGCACGAAGCTTTAGAAAACAAACCTAAACAGAAACAATCAGTCTATCAACAATGCAAGGAGAAATAAAAAGAAGTTGCTCACTGCAAAAAGTTGATAAATTTGGCAACCATTGTTTTGTTATGTTGTTTTCATACAACTATTCTTCTTTTCTTTTCTTCTCCTTCTTCTTCGACTATCTTTTATTTATTTTTCTTTTAAAGCTTTCCAGACACCTAAATTTTTACTGAAGCACACTTTAAAGAATTAGACTTGCTATCCTAACCTACGAACAACAAACTGCAGCACATAACTCTCAGTGAGAATTCATTCTAAAAATTACGTCAGTGCCAATGCTCCATTCTGAGTTTTTACTTGTGTACGATTCATAGCATGATAGAGGCAATACTACAATTATAACTAACTCAAAACCAACAAGGTTTACCTAGAAACACTAACACCAGATTTTCTACCTTTTCATACAGGATGCGAATGAGTAGATCCCATAAAGCAAAAGAAAGGAAACACAATAAAACCAT